GCGCTTGGGCGTGAGTCCGTTTTTTTTTTCATCTTTGCTGTCCGTCACAGCGACGTAAATAGTAAAAAATCACTCCGCACAAAAGTGCCCCAATAAGTTCGCCCCCCCCCACCCCCTCCACCGGCCCCGGGCTTGCTCCGTTGCACGAGCGTCCCGAGCGAAGCTGAAATTCCTGCGCCCCGTTTTTGCGCGTCCGCACGCGACCGCAGGACCCGTCCGGGGCACTGCTCGTCGGCATCGTCCTCTTCAACTTCGTTGTGGGCTTGGCCAGCCGCAGGGGAGTCTGGGAGATGGTTCCCCAAGTCCTTGAGGTCTGGGCCCCGTTGTTGTGTTTTCCCCGCCCCCTCCGAGAAAGTTCCATCCAATTGTCGGTCCCCGAGGCTCAAGCGTTTCGAGCCGCCTCGTCCTTCGGCAGACCGCACGAGGGTTTCCATCCTCGTTTCGCATTTGCCAGAGGTCCAAACAGCGCAGGGAAATAAAGTGTCCCTGTGGACGCCGGTGGAGCTAGGGTATTGGCGAACTGATCGAGATTTTAGGGCCCCAATCAGCTGCCAGGGGCCCTGCAATCACAAATAACGGGTGCTCCAAATATCAGCTCAAGCTCTCTCCCCCCCCAAAAAACATGAAAACGCCCATCATTCTAATAACGCCGTTAAGATCATGTTAAGTGTAATTCGTTTATTACCTTAATGGTTTCACACGGCTGTGATATAATTAAGTGATGAAGCTTATCCATTTATGTAATGTTTGAAGACAGGTGATTTACCCAAACGTAATTTCTGCTTCGGGCGGTCAAAGGGCTGGTACGACCACTGCCCGCGAGAGTGCTGGGTATTGGAAAGGGTTTTTGCAAGAGTTTTGGGACATCTTCTTTGGTTCTTTCGGTAAAGTCACGTAGAATGAGAATAAAATAATAAATTGATAAAATAAAATAACGCAATAAAATTCTCAGAAATAACACAATAAAATTCTCAGAATTTTATTGTGTTATTTTATCAATTTATTATTTTATTCTCATTCTACGTGACTTTACCGAAAGAACCAAAGAAGATGAATCCTTGCAGTCACGAAAGCTTTAAATCGAAAGTTTTGGGGCAGGTGGTGGCACAGGAGTTGGCGCACCGCACTTTGAACCCAGCGGCCTGAATTCGATTCCCGACCACAGCTAACATCGGTGATGAGTGATCTCTCAACCGGTCCTGGGCACACTGCCCTAGCCCCCCTCCCCGCATCCCCATCCCTTCACCACACGTACAAATGTTGACCAGCATGGTGAAGTATGGGTACACGGGCAGTCCTCGGCTTACGAATATAATTCGTTCCTGAAAACCGTCCGTACGTCGAACGATTCGTAAAATGGGAACACAGGAATGCACTGCATTTAAATGCCCATGCGATCAGTGCTATGAAATGTGTTACGGTTCAACAAAAAGGAAATCATTGTTCAACTCATAATAAAGAATAAATATTGTACGCTTGGATGTAAGATGTTTTAAGTCAATGTTTTTTTTGTTATTTCATGGAAGCTGCTTCGTGGAAGCACTGGTGTTCGTAAGCCGGGTGTTCGTAAGTCGATGACTGCCTGTACAACCCCCATGATGAACGTGGCACGAGGAGACCTTGTCGAAGCAGTGTATTATTATTTATATTATTATTATCATTACAAACGGGCACAGCTCTCAGTTGGCAGAGCATGGTGGCACCAAATTACGGCATCGTCAAATAAAGCCTTGGCCAGGCTGCAGCTTTGCCCCGGTTCTTTTGTAAAAGCCTGCCTGCATCACGTGCTATGGTATTCCATCAGTGGCTTGAGCCATTACTGAACTACCATAACAGGCGGCGGATTGCTGGTTTGAAGAGCCTCCCACTCGGAGCTCTAGAAACGCCCTCTCGAGTGCACATGGCGAGGTGTCTTGGAAGAGGTTGTAGTACCCACACATTGCCCCACCACACGCAAACCTGCCGAAGCGACTGCCCGTGGTTTAATCATTAGTACCGCCGAGTGGACAAGAACTGACACTTTCCCATTGCTCCAATGGCCACGCAGCAGCGGGCGTGGTGGTGGGGGAGGGTGTCAGACTGGCTGACCTCTGGGCTTCCTCACTCTCAAATAGAGAGATAACGCTTCATCTGGAAGCTCCGCAGCCGTGGGTTCCCGGGAGGAGGGAGTACTTCTTCTGGCTGGATTGGCCCACCCCGTGCTGCTGCACTTTCCAGGATGGCTTCCTGCTTTGAGCCTAATGTGATACATTTTGGGAAACTAAGCTGGAGCGGTTGAGAGTACTGTGTAGGCACCGCCGGCCACCTCAACGCCGCTCCTGCCAGGCAGACGTTGTCGGTTGAAAACCATTTTGGTGAACAAGAGAACAGAATTTTGCCCCCCACCCCCCTTCCCTCCTGCCTGTCACCCCAACCCCCATCCCTTGCAAATCATAAAAGTCATACTTTTTACGCCGGTCTCACCCACTTTTTTGATATTTGTGTCTGTGTACATGGGTGCGCTGTGGTGGCGAGATGTTTATTATCTCGCTAGGTATACAGGAGGTCTTGGGTTCGATGCCAACCCTGACACCGGTTGTATATTTGGATTTTGCGTGTCTCTCTTGTCCCGTGGTTGCGTAGATTTTTCTCCGGGTCCTCTGGTTTTTCTCTCCATATTTAGAATCAATGTGCGTTGAGAGCATTTGGCTGCTATACATTTATACGTGATAAGCCACTTTGTTGAGATATAATTTGTGATAGCCAGGTCGCTTCTGAAAAATACCTATAGAGCGCAAGTGGACCTTACCTGGTAAAATAAAAAAATGGTTTTAGTTTTCTAGCTCATATTATTTTTGCTGAAAAAAATTATACCCGATGATGCAACAATTACTTTTCTCCAGAATCCAATCTCGTCGCCCGTGCATCTGTTCAAAAGCCTGAAGCGAAGCTCGTGTGAGTGTCCAGGTAAAAAAAAAATCCCATTGTCCATGATCAGCACTGGCAAGGTCCCACTCGCGAGAAATTCCTGTCCGCCCCCCCTCCCCCCCCCCGGCTCGCTGGCCTGATGCTTTAGCGAGCGCCACTGGTCGTGTGCGACAATAACATGAATAAATAAATATGTACCACTCCGCGTGAAATGATGAAGACCTCACAATTTACGGGGAGACTTGTTGGCAGAATATTGACACGATGCTTTACACAAAGCGAGCAAATTACCTCCAGATTTTGGCCAATTATTCCGCGGAATTTACACGCGTGCCTAAAAGATCCAACCCGGCCCCCCGCTACATATTTAGGCGTTATTTATATCTCGAATTACGGGCCATTTGTATGCGCGGGGATATTTATGCACTCGCGCGTATCGCATTTGCGACCTACCTGGGAACACATCAGCCGAAGATTTGCCATGCGCTGGTTGTGCCAATAATCCTTTGCGATGTGCGCGGAACGAAAGCCTTGAGATTTGTCTCGGTGAGAGAGCAAAAATAAGAAAGAGCATTGCGGTTTTTTTTTGGTTGTCGTCCCGTCCAGCTCGGCTGAAAAAATAGGCCTTTCTGTTTTTCGCGAGCGTGAAATGCTGCAAAAGGTTTTGCGCGTAAAGTGGATGCGCGTACACGTAGCATTAGCAGGCGGTGGCAGCAAAGTTCGTTGGTTGTTTGTTATTTCTTTTCCTTCACGTTTTTTTTTTTTGCCACGATTTCATGGAAGGCTCCATCAATTCAACCCTACCACCACCACCACCATCACATCCTCCGACCACCACTCACCTCTTCCATCTCACCCCCCACAACCGCACGCGCACACTCGCGTGGTGCGATTCGGTGGATTGTTGCGATTTGGAATCGGGCCCTTTATTTGATTCAATAATTTATTCTGGTTATTATTTTTTTTACCTTTGACTTCTCGCCAGGGTTGTCACATTTAGTGCTCGCGATTCCTTCCAATTTAATTACAGTAGTTGGTCCACTCAAAGACCTCGGCCGATCAGTTTACGGCCCTTAGTGGAGAGCTTTTGTTGGGATTTAGCTCGACTGATCACATCTCGATTCAAATTAATGACGCCCTCTTCGCTTAGATTATGGTTTCCGTTGTGCTTAAGGTCACCTGAAGACACCTCACGCGTCGAGAAAGCGACCGGCTTTTAACCAACGGGGGAGGATGAGGATGAGGAGGAATACTAAAAACTAAAAAAAAACGAACAACCTCTCTCTCCTGAAGACCCCTCTCATGGCTAGCAAACCTCGACATTTGCATTTAGCTCCTGCCTTACGCAAGAAGAGAGTAAAACATGATTAGTGCCTGTCTCTTTGTGTCCCATGGTTGTTTGTGTTCTCATTCATTTGTGCAATTTAGTTTTGCTCCAATAGCCTCAATGTCCCATTAGGACGTCAATTGCACGCATGTCAATTGAAGTCAGCTACCGTGGCAACTTGTTTGGCACAGAAACCGGACGAGAGTCAGGGATGTGATGCGCGAGAAAAGAAAAAAAGACTGGCAAAAGGGAAGAGAGAAGAGAAAGAATGGGAAACAGGAGGAAAATTATGGGCAATGAATGTGGAAATGGCAGCAAAGGGGTCAGGAAAAATTAGGATCGGAAGAGGCTGCATGAGGGCCTCGACGCTGCTGTTGCTGTTGCTTCACGGAGCGGAGTCTGTTTTCACAGCGGGCGGCGGAGTCACAGGGGAGGGGTTCGGAGTGGGCGTGATCACACACAGAAGTCACGCAGTTCGCGGGATGCTTGAACTGAGTTCTATTTTCAGATTTGTCCAGTGTTGCCGCTAACCACTGCACCACAGCAACATGGCTCACTGCTGTAACAAAAGCCGCGATCATCCTCCTCACTCTCCGGCAAAACTCAAAAGACGGAACGTTGCCGTCAACTAACCAAGAACCACGGTTGTTCTTTCCCCATCTGTCCCCCTTACCTTTCTGCCCCCCCCCCACCTCTCTGCCCCCCTCCCACACCTTGCTCTTCCCTTGGCCCCCCCTCCCCACCACCACCAATTTACTGCCAGAAGGGCTGAGCTACGTGTTTGGCGCCGGCGGGGGCATGGTGACGTACTCGTGGCCGAGTAACGGGAGGCCGAGCACACGCGCCGATCGGCTCACGCTGGGGTTCAGCACCCTGGCACCCAGCGCCGCCATCCTGCGCGTTGACAGCCAGGACGGCCTGGGCGACTTCCTGGAGCTGTACATCGTACGTACAATGCCCGCGCGCACGCACGCGTGCATGAACGCACACGCGCGTGCTAAGTTAGTCTACTGCCGCGCTGGTTTGTGTTTAGTTTTTTTGTTGTTCTCCCGGTTGGCTACGTGCGGTGTGAAAGAAATTCAACACGCATACATAGAGACCCACAGACTCACACAGAGACCCACATACGTATAGAGACCCAAAAACTCACATAGAGACCCATAGACTCCAACATACACCCACAGACTCAGAGAGACCCATAGACTCACATAAAGACTCACATAAAATGAAAACCCTAGATTGAAAACTCATCTATTTAGAACTGATTTTTGTGTTTAGTTTGTTGTCCTTCACGCTCACCTCCGATTATACACTACATAGATAGGCATTTGTGCTGTTACTCTTTTTGTTTGATTCGTGTGGTGTCGTGGTTGGCCAGTGTGCCAGAAGATGGCTTCAGGAGTGTGAATCTCTGAACACGCTGCTGACGGGCATTGGTAGCGGGCAGTGGCGTTACAATTGCACTTTTGCACCAACGAGTGCACACACTGCAGCGACGAAATGTCCTCGTTTGTCCAGGAGATTTCTGGTATCAGAAGGCTGTTCCGGTGACCCCACCCCCCTGCCCATCACAAAAAATTGGGGGTTTGTCCTCGTTTGATATTTTCTTGGTGAGGTTACCTGAGTCGCTCCACCCACTACCTGGGTAGCCCCAAGCCGACCGCTCATAGACCCCAACTACTACTCAGGTACACCCATAGTGGGTGGGGCTAACCGAGCAGTGGGCGGGGTTTACCTGAGCAGTAAGCGGGGCTACATGAGCAGTGGGCGGGGCTAGTGGAGGGGCTGACAGCTAATCAGGGAGCTCCTGAACTCGTGTCCAGTCTGATTGTATTTACGTACGTACAGTGAGGGAAAACGTATTTTATCCCCTGCTGATTTTGTACTTTTGTCCACTGACAAAGAAATGATCAGTCTATAATTTTAATGGTAGGTTTATTTGAACAGTGAGAGACAGAATAACAAAAAAATCCAGAAAAACGCATGTCAAAAATGTTATAAATGTATTTGCATTTTAATGGAGGAAATAAGTATTTGACCACCTCTCAATTAGAAAGATTTCTGGCCCCCAGGTGTCGTTTATACAGGTAACGAACTGAGATTAGGAGCACACTCTTAAAAGGGAGTGCTCCTAATCTCAACTTGTTACCTGTATAAAAGAGACCTGTCCACAGAAGCAATCAATCAGATTCCAAACTCTCCACCATGGCCAAGGCCAAAGAGCTTTCCAAGGATGCCAGGGACAAGATTGTAGACCTACACAAGGCTGGAATGGGCTACAAGACCATTGCCAAGCAGCTTGGTGAGAAGGTGACAACAGTTGGTGCGATTATTCGCAAATGGAAGAAACACAAACGAACTATCAATCTCCCTCGGCCTGGGGCACCATGCAAGATCACACCTCGTGGAGTTGCAATGATCATGAGAACGGTGAGGAATCAGCCCAGAACTACACGGTAGGATCTTGTCAATGATCTCAAGGCAGCTGGGACCATAGTCACCAAAATAACAATTGGTAACACACTACGCCGTGAAGGCCTAAAATCCTGCAGCGCCCGCAAGGTCCCCCTGCTCAAGAAAGCACATATACATGCCCGTCTGAAGTTTGCCAATGAACATCTGAATGATTCAGAGGACAACTGGGTGAAAGTGTTGTGGTCAGATGAGACCAAAATGGAGCTCTTTGGCATCAACTCAACTACGCCGTGTTTGGAGGAGGAGGAATGCTGCCTATGACCCCAAGAACACCATCCCCACCGTCAAACATGGAGGTGGAAACATTATGCTTTGGGGGTGTTTTTCTGCTAAGGGGACCGGACAACTTCACCGCATCAAAGGGACGATGGACGGGGCCATGTACCGTCAAATCTTGGGTGAGAACCTCCTTCCCTCAGCCAGGGCATTGAAAATGGGTCGTGGATGGGTTTTCCAGCATGACAATGACCCAAAACACACGGCCAAGGCAACAAAGGAGTGGCTCAATAAAAAGCACATTAAGGTCCTGGAGTGACCTAGCCAGGCTCCAGACCTTAATCCCATAAAAAATCTGTGGAGGGAGCTGAAGGTTCGAGTTGCCAAACGTCAGCCTCGAAACCTTACTGACTTGGAGAAGATCTGCAAAGAGGAGTGGGACAAAATCCCTCCTGAGATCTGTGCAAATCTGGTGGCCAACTACAAGAAACGTCTGACCTCTGTGATTGGCAACAAGGGTTTTGCCACCAAGTACTAAGTCATGTTTTGCAGAGGGGTCAAATACTTATTTCCCTCATAAAAATGCAAATCAATTTATAACGTTTTTGACATGCGATTTTCTGGAATTTTTCGTTGTTATTCTGTCTCTAACTGTTCAAATAAACCTACCATTAAAATTATAGACTGATCATTTCTACGTCAGTGGGCAAACGTACAAAATCAGCAGGGGATCAAATACTTTTTTTCCCTCACTGTACATGCACGCCTTCAAATTTAATGATGTTGCGTACTTATACAATTCATCCAACACACACACTCACATGTGTATCACTCATATTATTTACTAAAGTGTGTACCTTTATACTTTATGCGCTCAAATATTGCCCAATGCGTTCAACAACAACCACAGCAAAAAAACGTGCAGCTACACATCTGCTATGATGTGTACCCTTTGATGCACCAGAATCCGTACCCAGATGTCCCCCACTTTTGTAGCTGCATGCGTACCCACACATCCTCATTATTACGATCGTTTATCATTTATATTGTGTGTCACACCTGCGTGACAGGTGTCGAGGCACCATAAGGATTTCGACATTAAACCTCACACGTGGGTGACGGATGAATCCACGCACACACACACACAAAGCGGAAACAATATCAAAATACATAACTTAAACATATTTCACTCAAGACACCGGTAACGGGTTTCGCGCTCGAAGGTAAGTCTGAAATAACCGGTTTGCGTATGATGTGAATGCAGAAAGCACATGCTCTGATGCACACGAAACTAGTAAGAACTTGTGTGGGTCTCTCTGTACGAGCATGAGCGTCTCTGCGTAATGCTGTGGGTCTCTGTATGAGTTTCAGGGGTCCTCTGTGTGAGTCTGAATATAAATACGTGTGGTCATCACGCATCCTGATTCGGTGCTATCTCCCCACCCCGCCGCGCGCAACTGCTCGCTCAGACACAGACTAAAGCGGCTGCGGGTGGACGATCGGTGTTTCGCGATTCCGAGCGCGATTTGCTTCACGCGAGCCGCTCGCTCGGTGCATGTGCTTGCCGCCTTCACTAACTCCGTATCCGTCCACGCGGCACTGCCCGGTGGACGCGGTCATCGGGGTAGCGTCCCCCCTTTAGGGGCCGTCCATAAATGACGTCACGCACCTAGGGGTGAGGGGGGGGGGGTCAGACATTTGTGACGATGTGTGACGAAGGGGGGGGGGGGGTGGTTGAGAAATGTGACGTCACATCAAAATGCGCAACTTTGAATAAATATAGACAACACGTTCTACTTAATTAAATATACTTTTTTAATAAATGTTTTCTCCTACAACATCAGAGTGCAGCGCCACATTAAATACGCACTACAATGACAATAGTTTAAAGCGATTTAAAGTATGTTTTATATATTTTGGGGGGGGGGGGCAGAGCTTTGTGACGTCATATTTGAGGGGGGGGGGTCTGACTTTTTGTGACGTCGTGTGACGAAGGGGGGGGGGTAAAAAATCGTCCAAAATAGCGTGACGTCATTTATGGACTGCCCCTTAGTTGGTATCCACAAACACGTTTGGTGCGCCGGACCCGTTTAGTTACACGTCACACGATGGGGGCATGGTGGACGTAGGATTTCTCCCCCCCCCCCCCCCTCCTCCCCCCTTTTAATTTTAGCGAACGAATCGCAGCTCTCGTGCGGAATGTCTCCTTCGCGGTAAGATGCTCCAAATGTCCGCTGGTGCAATTCTTTTTTTTGCAAAGGAAGCCCGAGGCAGCTTCAACGGCTGGGTTTGGGGCGTGAAGGGTGGTGCCATTGCCGCGTGGGAGGATCGGAGCGCATGCTGGCGGTCACTGGGGGGGGGGGTGGGAAGATGTTATCTCCCTCGTCGGAATGAAGGAGGTCGTGGGTTTGATCCTGACCCTGACGATGCCTGTATAATTAGAATGAACGTGCATTTAGAGTACTTGGCTGACATACAATTCCACACGACGATAGGCGACTTCCGTTGAGCTATCACACGTGATAGCCAGGTTGCATCTGCAAAAAAAGAGCTATACAGCTCAGTTAGTCTTACCTAGTAAAAGAAAATAGTCATTGCACATGTAGGCAGTGTGGGGAAGGGGGGGGATGGGGGCGGGGGGTAAGGGGGGGTGGAAACAAGCCAAGCCCGACGATCCTCCAGGGAGCCGACACCTAATGCGTCCAACGCCGCTAATTGAATGATGGATGGTTTTTCTGCAGAGCGCACGTCAAGAGCTACACGGGGAGCGTGCGAATGAGGGGGGAGAGATTTCTTTTGTTTTGCCAATGGAGGAATGTTAAAGGAGTTCGGCCTAGTCTGCATTGCCGCCGCAGCACGTGTGGCCTCGAAGCAAAGGCACAGAATCTCAGTGTCACCACAGCACGTGTGGCTTAAAAACACAGGCACAAAATCTCAGTGTTACCACAGCACGTGTGGCCTAAAAACAAAGACACAAAATCTCAGTGTTACCACAGCACGTGTGGCCTAAAAACAAAGACACAAAATCTCAGTGTTACCACAGCACGTGTGGCCTAAAAACAAAGACAAAATCTCAGTGTTACCACAGCACGTGTGGCCTAAAAACAAAGACACAAAATCTCAGTGTTACCACAGCACGTGTGGCCTAAAAACAAAGACAAAATCTCAGTGTTACTACAGCACGTGTGGCCTAAAAACAAAGGCACAAAATCTCAGTATTACCACAGCACGTGTGGCCTAAAGACAAAGGCACA